CACATGTTGCTAGCACAACAGTTAATGATTTAACAAGCAATAACCACAGACACTGCAAAGGTAACTCATTTGATGCAACTATCTTCTTGTTCAGTTGTCAAAATTATTTGGTTTTACAGGCTTATCATTCCAAGGTTACAGATATGTAATGAGAACTCGCAGAAACAGATGGGCCTACATAGGTTTGATTAGCCTACGAACACTTAAAAAAGATCTTATCGGTCTTGCTTTAAGGCAATACCACACTGCTCAAAGCAAGATGGAAGTTTTCAGAAGAGTTTCTGTGGACACAGGCCATGTCACCGACAAAACATGTGGCTACAAGTGGGTTGCTGCCACCAGAGAAATTGCAGATTAATTTGGTTGTTGGGGAACTCACAGGAAACCAGGGGAAAGAACGCCACTTCCATCTCAGCTCTGCGATGCACAGCTATCGGCCACAGCTTTCCAAGCAGAGGGAAGGTACCAGACCACTCCTCTCATGCACAGCCAGCCAGGAAGGATACGACTTTGGATGTCTTGATAAAGAAAAGTGATAGAAATGTAACCATGTTAGTCTGGTGCAGCTGAAACAAAATACAGGACTATGTAGCACTTTAAAGACTAACAAGATCTGAGGAAGTGGGTCTGGCCCACGAAAGCTCATCATCCTTCCTCAGATCTTGTTAGTCTTTAAAGTGCTACATAGTCCTGTATTTTGATAAAGAAACACAGCAAAGTGTATTTTCAGAGCCTGGTAAATATGGGTCTTGTCTCCCAGCAGCCTAGGGACTGAGTGGCTGTACATGAAAGGGATTAAAAGTGCAAGTTACCAGCGCAACAGCGAGAGCGGCGCTAAGCTGCTGCAGCTCCCTGATAAAACACTGGCGGACAGTCCCCGGAGGAATTAACGGATGATTTCCTAGCACTAGCGTCCCCTTGAAAGGAAGGTCCTGGAGGGCAGTGGAGGTCGATGGCTACTCTCCCCCTCCTCTCATCCAGCCATTCCACTACAGTTACATCTTGTCAGACATTTAAATAAACCGTCCTATAAACCAATAGCGACTCCTCTCCCCTGCCCCCATTACTAGGAAAAGCAATTTGCAGCTTGCAGGAGGGACTCCAAGAGCCGGCATAAACAAGTGCAGCTTCACGAAGTCAGGGGAGCTGGGCTGAGTTACAGGCACCATCAATTTGGCCTGGCGCCCACTCTCTGTTGCTCACATGATCCTTCCTGTAGCGCCAGGGGTGTGCGCCGTACACATGAAAACAGCCACCAGCATCCCGCCCGGAGTGACAGGCGCCTGAGACACGACCTGACAGGCGTGGAGGGCTATGAAGGGGCAGGCGTGGAGGGTTATGCTGGTGCCACAGGTGAAGGATGTAACCTCTTCCAACTCAGATGCCATGTTAATTACTCCCCCAACCCTTCACGTGTCAGCCGTGGGCCCGAACTGGATTCTCGAGTCCTGAGCAAGGAGTGGGCTTTGGGTAGAGATTTGAGATGTTTGCCCCACAAGCAGGCTCAGGAGTTTGGGGGTCATGCAGGAGAGAGACCACGCCCCGTGCTCAGCCCACGTCTCCCTAAGAAAAGGGGACAAAAGGGAGAGCCGGCCGAGACCAGACTGCATTAGTCAAACGGACCAGTGTCACCAGGACAGCCAGACTGCCCCCTTCATCACATTTTCCTGCCTATAAACACCCCTAAAGGTGCCTATGCCAGACATGCTCCTTGGATCGCCAGTGTAACCCTACAGCAAATTTGACCTATTTTCAAGCTTCATTACCACGAGGGCCTCGAACTGCAAGCTAGAGGAACGCTTGCACTGCCAACAGCAAACTCCGTCCCCTCTCTTTCAGCTGTTTTTCACCTTGCGCCACACAAATGTTTGCAAGCTGGACGATGTGCAAAAGGGGGAACTTTCATGGATTCCTTTAGACCAGTGGTTCTTAACCTTACTGCAGCCTGCACCCCTTTGGTTCTCCACATATGTTCTCGCTCCCCTTATTAAAAAACGTTGAAGTAGGTCAGTTCTTTAAACCTAAGATAGATCATAAAAATCTGGCACGTCTCACACCCCCAGAAAGGGCATCTCGCCTCCCCAGGGGGGTGTGCACCTCAGGTTAAGAACCACTGCATTAGACCATCTAATAAACCAACTAGTAAGGCATTTTTTCAGCTCTCATCCTTCTGGCTAGAGCAGGTTTGCTGCTTCTGTGGCATTCTTCAATCCAAGTGAGCGGATTACTCGAGAGATAAAGGAAGAGGAAGAGCTGACAGGGAGAAACACCCCCTAAATTACCTGCCTCCCCCATCAAGCGGAGATCACTGCCAAAAGGGAAGATCTTGTGAGACATAGGAAGAGCCAGACCATGAGGAAGTAACCAAGGAGAGCGTGTGTGTGTGTAGGAGTGGAGAGGGACAGGCACACTCGGTGCAACCTCTAGCCATTCAGCTTTGGTAAACTAGATTCAAGGCCCCAGAAGTATGGTGAGAGCTTGGGGCTCTTTGCCAAACTGGGCTGGATACCGGAGGCTTCCCCAAGACTCTGTAAGATGGGGCTTCACAGGCTGCTGGACAGTTGCACGTTTCAAGCAACCACCTCCCCCACCTTTCCCCACCCTCGGGCTGGTGCAGAATTTGGCACTGGCGGCCATCTTTTCCAGCACGGGGCACGATGAGACCGGAGGATTGCCGATGCCATAAACATCTTCTAGGCTGTGCACCGGCAGGCTTGTAATCATCAAGCGAGGCTCAGAGCGAGTCTGCGCAGCCACATGCTCTCGGCACACTTTCCCCTCCTCCCAGGCGTTGGCTGCAGGGACCTGTTGCATTTTAACTTGTTGCAGGTTGTAAATCCATCTGTTTGTACAGCACCTAGTGCACCAGGCTCCGATCCAGTGCGAGGCCTCTAAGCTCCATTGCAGTGCTAATAAGAGCACTGGGAGCTGAGCCAGGATCCAGGACAAGAGGAGTTAGGAATGCTGCCGGCTCGGAGCTAATTAGCGGGATTTTGGACAGTGCTGTTTGTGTAGGTGCTTTAGGGTTATTACTCTCACGCTTCAGCAAGCTGCGGCCCAAATCAGAGAGAAAATGGTACTGGCTGATCTACAGAACAGGGCAGAAACAACAAGACCTTAAATAGAGCCAGCAGTGACGGGCAGCTGTTTGGTGGCCTCTAAAAGGAGCTGGACAGGGCCTCTTGGAAGTTGACCCTTAAGGCTTCACCCTATTTTATTGTAACTAGCCCCCCTGCTGGCAGCCTGACACACGAGGAAGTGACCAGATCAGTGACTGAACTGTCTTATTTCTATGCGAGAATCCCACCACACCAGGGCTCAAGTATATTGAAGGGAGGAGCATCATGAAAGCTTGCCCTGCTGGTGCCCGGGGCACCCCTGCTCTGTAGACATGGGGCTCTGGGGTGTTGACGCAGCGCTTGCCCTGGGTGCTACACAATCAAGATGACAGACAGACTGGCCAACTCCTCATCCGCAGACAGTGCCATCTGCCGCAATCAAAAGTGAGAGGAGGGGCGGGGGGAATCTCTCCCATTGGACTAGCTTGTGCTGGGGAGGCAGACGAGCTTTCGAGCCACCCAGAGCTCTTCTAGAGGCCTATGTGTCGAGTGGGTGCAACTTCTACATGATTCATCTGTGCCAAATCCAGCCCTGTGCTCAAGTGAGGGTGCAAGCCAGCAGCTGCATAATGGAGGTGGGGGAATGGGACGGGAGGAAGAATGAAATGGGGAGTGATAGACGCACAGAGGCTGCAGCCTGTTGCACTTGGTGACTGAACTGCTTCCCGGAGGCGGGGAGCCGAAGGGGCTCGCAAGCCAGCAGGCAAGCTGTCGAGAAGGGAGGCCGCTCGTCAGCTGTAGTCCTGCTGCACAAGATGGCAGAACCAAGGCAAAAGCCTCCTTTCCAGCCCCCTGCACACAGAGGGAGGCACGGCAATCCAGACGCAGCTTGCTCGCACCTGTTAAGGGAAGACAGGCACACCTGAGCCCTGGCACGTGAAAGGTGCAGGGGTAAGCATGCCATGAGGATAAGGATCTAGGTAGCAAACAGATGCAAGCGCCGCTTGGGCATGCAGGGGACCCTCAGTCTCTGCTTTTTCCTTTCGGGGAAGCGACTGTCACGTTAACACTCTTTACGGACATTCAGTGAACAACCCTCAACACAGCACGACATTTATACAAGCTGAACCTCTCTAGTCTGGCGCTCGGAGCCAGCAACATCCATGGTCCGGCACGATGAGAGTTAGCTAGATGGCCACTTCGCAGGGGCATGGCCAAGTTTCCCACAGTCCCATAAAGTTGGTTTCCAGCCCCCAGTCCTGGCTCTCGGGGTTCTGGGCTGTTTTTTGGCTCTAACTGACCCCAAAATGTCTCTTAAGAGGCCAGCAAGCCGGGGAGGTGTTGGCAATGCTGATACATTCCTGACCACCGGACAGGTCCCGAGGGAGCCGGATCAGAGAGGTTCAATCTGTACCTTGCGATTAAAGGAAACAACTTGATGCAGACACCACTGCAGTCATGAATGCCTGTAGCAGAATTCTGCTGGCAGGGCGAGAAATACAAGTGAGGGGGAGCGTGGGGCGACTATTTCCCTGAACTGCAATTTTATCCCTCACGTCACGTAATTAAGTGCAAGATTCTAAAGGGGCGGGGCAACTATTTTGTAGCCAAGTATTACACACTAGGAAAAAGTAGCGAATGGTATTCGGACAGGCGCATACATTTGGACCCATTATTAGCGGTAACTCCGAAGTGTCTGGTGCAAAGAAAGTCAACGTCTCTAAATATTACATAGCCCCGTTAGGAAACGACATTAGACAGGTTATAATTACTAGACATTTATTCACCTTGAAGGCAAGTTGCAAGACTCAATTTCAGGTGGCATTTGGGGGAGGGGGAAGGGTTGAGGGGGTAGAAGGTCACGGTTGCTGTGAAGATGCAGCTGGAATTCTAGGGCTTCGAATCCATCTCTCTTTTGCCATCGCTGCAGGACTAGCTGAACACAGCCAGGCTTCCTGGACTCAGCTGAGCAAAAGTCAGTGAGAAACCAAGTGAAATGGCAGCCACTTAGCTGCCGTCTGAACCTGCAGAAGGCCCGGAGGGTGCCTGTCCACAAAAATAAATAAACCTTCCGAGAAGAAAAAAACCTCTTCCATGATCAGCTGTGAATGCAACGCAAGATCCACTGACGCAGCCCACTGCACAGCTTACACATCTTTCCGTCACAAACGCACTTCACAGACACCCGGCGAGACACAGGGGATGAGTAAAACGATCAAGGACACAGCGTTCTCCCCTTTAAACAAAGGGAGTGGGTGTTTCAAACAGGAGTTCTTGACATCCAGAACAGTCACACACCAAGTCCCTGAAAAGGGAAAGGAGCCTCACGGCGGAACGATTGCTCAGAGGCAGCAGAGGTTTAGGAAACGAATCACAAGCCAACAGGAAAGGGACAGCATCAGCAACACTGCACTGGTCACTCGCTTTTCACCGGCATCGCCACGAGAAGCCCTCGCATGCAGAGTCCCATCCGTTGGGTGAGCTCCCCCTCCAGCGGGAGGTGGCAATTTTGGTGGCTGTCCCCACGGCATCTTTGAATCGAACACTTTAAAACGTGATGCTTGAAAGACCTATGTGAAAAGAAAAATGAAAGGAGACTGGAGTCAAACCCTCTGCTGCTATTAGAACAGGAAAGGCAGGTTTGGAACTAGCGTCCTGAATCTAAGCTGTCGGGGCAGCAAGCTTACTCCCCAGACACCATAACAAGGTACTCCCTCCAGTCTGGCACTGCAAGGGCCACGCAATATGAAAAGCGAGAGACGTAGCAAGGGAGACAGTGGGCAGCAATGGAACAAAGCGGAAAGTTTCTGCTGTCCCTCCAGATAGTTCCTAGCACAGCCCCGCTCATTAACAAAACAGAGAAGCAGCCCAGGAAAAGCCACATTTATAGGACGAGAGGGATTGATTGGAGAGGAAAGATTAAAAGAAACCAGTAGCCTGGCTAAGAAAGAGCCACAGGGTAAGTCTGCAAATGTTGGAAGGGTTTAAAGCCATCTGAAGGAGAAACAGGATTTAAGGTAGGGTAGAACAAATGTTGCACAGGGAGGTAAAGACACAGGGCAAGAAAGTACAGATTCAGTGTAAGAAACAGGCCACGTTTTGACAGTGGGAGCTATCATTAGAATGGCCAGACTGGTCGGACCAAAGGCCCATCTAGCTTGGTGTCCCGTCTGCGGATACTGGCCTGTGCCAGGTGCCCCAAGGGAGTGAACAGAACGGGGAATCAAGCGAACCCTCCCCGTCACCCACTCCCAGCCTCTGACAAGGCTTCAGACCCATCCCTGCCCACCCTGGCTAAGAGCCAATGATGGAGCTATCGCCCTGTGGCACTGCCACAGGAATGCGCGGATGTCGCAATGCTCAAGGCCTTACAATCAGGTAGAACAAAGATCTGGCACATTTAGATTAGGCTTAGAAATACCCCTGGTCCCTTTGCAGCCTCTCAGATACTTTGTACCATTCAGTCCCTGCACCTACAGCTCCTGCGGATAGCAACAGACTCGGTGAACTCAAGGCAGCCTATCGCTTTAAGTTATCAGAGTGCTGCAGAGCAGAGAGATAAACACTAGCCAGTGCTGCAGGGAACTTTCTGTGCTGAGATACAATTCTACATGGTCATCACTTCCCAGAGCCCTGTGATCGGTGGGGGACCAGCCATCCCTGCACCGTACACACCAGGGCCTGCTTAGCAGACAGTGTAAGCCAGCAGCTACTACGCTGCAGCTTCAGCCACCAGATAATCTACTCCACACCCCCCTTTGGCTGGGACAGGAGGGAAACTCTCTGGAGGAAGTTTCTCCCCCTAACAGCTGATAATGAAGAGTGCACATGAAGATCACTTTAGAATCTTTGTTGCATCTAAGATTCTTAGGAGTAATGGATTCCCTGCCATTTTTTCCTTGGGGCAGGCAGCTAGAGAAGCTTTTGGGGAATCAAACTATCAAGCAGCCTATGAAATTCTGCAGTAGAGAAGTTCCAAGTAGAAATCCATTTACCCCATTTTGTTTAATCACACACACACACCCACAAGTTTTTAAAAATGTCCCACTCTGCACCAAGACAACCCAGAGACCTTTGGAAAGTTTTTGTACAAAGTTGGGGAGACACATGCCCAGCCCAGACTAGCCAAGAACCCAGTGGCTAGGCTAGTCACCTGACAGAGCAAGGACGTAGAACAACATTTCCTACTTTCAGGCAAGTGCCCTAGCCATGGGGCTATTGGCCTTCCTCTCTCTTTGATACGTTCCATCAAAAAGCGTTGGCTTCAACGCAGGCACAATTTTCCACATCAAGAGTTCTCCACTTTACTCCTAACCCCTCCAAAAAGTGCGCCGGCTGAAGAGACACACCCAGCCACCCAAACCACAGGTAATTAGGTGGCTTGGTTTTTTAAATATGCACCAACAATCCATGGTGCTACAGAAGAGAGAAATCATGGCAGATTCCAGGGCAGAAGAGACAGACTGGAAAACTGCTTGAGGTGTAAGACCAGGAGACAGATTTGAAGAGTTAGACTAAGGATGGAACTTTTAAAGATTTCCCCCTGCCCTCTTCCCTTTAAAGGCACCAAAACTAGACCCTCAGGACAGAGATGGAAGGAAGGCAGCACAGAAGGAGCAAAGACCAAGCTAATGGGGAGAGATAACATTTCAGAGCTGTGAAGTTGCTATAAAACCAGACTGTTTATTAATCTAGGCAGCACTTGAAGTGCGCAGGACTTTGGAACTCAGTTTATTAGTCCCGACACCATCACAACCTGGCTACTGCCATAAAAATTATTTAATGTTTCTGATTTTAAAAATCCTGATCCCAATATTCTTGGATAAAACTTCCTGGTGGAGCAGGCTGAGTGCCTGTACAAACTAGGGATGTTAACTAGCGGGTATTTGGATAAACGTGTAAGTGCAAGAAATTTTAGTGGTTGCACATTTACATGAGGGGGGCTGGGGGGGGAGGGGGGAG